GGCTGCCGGCCAGGGTCAAACCACGACATAATGTGAAAGAAAGGCACCTCGTTGATGGTGGTGACAAAACTCTCTAAGACTTCCGCTGTCGTTTAAATTTTCTCTCCTTCTGTTTGTTTTTTTCCCCCTCAGTTTTGTGAGAATCTGTAAGTGGGAATTATTTCCATTTATAAATACATAAGGTAGCTGTTAAAAACTAAACCTTGTGAGGCTGAGTTTCACAAGCAAATGAAATAGTTGTGCCTATCTGGTATGTTCTAGATACAACTCTTTGCAAATATTTAGAATTTCGGGTGGTTTTTTTTTTTCCAGATCATGACCTGCATTTTGACTGAGCAGCGGATCGTTTTCTTCTCTTCTGACTGGGCTCTGCTGACCCTCGTTGCTGAGTGCTTTATGTTGTACCTTCACCCTCTTCAGTGGCAACACACTTTTGTGCCCATTCTGTCACATCAAATGCTGGATTTTGTAATGGCCCCAACGTCTTTTCTCATGGGATGTCATATTGATCATTTTGAAGAAGTTAGCACGGTACGTTGGAGGCTGTTAACCACTCCTGCTGTTCCCTCTCAGTGCGTTTGTCGCCATACTTCTAGATGCATCTAGAAACTTGCTTTTTTAATTTAGATGCATGAGAAGTGAAGAAATTAAAAATAATGGCACCATACTAATGTGTCCGGCTGCTTCTTGGGAAAAAAACTTACTGTTGTATCTCTTCTTTTTATTTTCTTTGCAGAATAATAGGATTCTTATCAGTTGAAAATTCATCATGGGAAAATTTCTACTTGCGTGTTGTTTGTATCATATAGTTTCCCTTCAGATCACTGAGGTTATTTTTTTGCTCAGAGAATCACAGTATAAATTAGATGCCTTTTCCAGGCATCTGGGTTAAGAATTGAGCATGCACTTGAAAATACTCTTAATGATGCTGCCGTTCTCTACGGTGGGGTTCAATGTTTAATGAAATAAGAAAGAAAAAGCAACGTAAAGAGTATCATCTCACATTTTTTTCTGAGGTTATATTTGCTTTCCTTTTTTTCAGAAACATATTTAACAAAACCTCTTCCAATGGGTAACAATAATCTTGGTTACCCAGAAATATTTAAGGAAAACTCAGCTTCACAGGGCAGGCCGAACGTGAATATATTTTTTTGCTGGTATTGTATAGATTTCTGGGAGTGTTTGAAACCAAACAAAGAAAAATTCTGTAAGTTTGTGTTAGATTAATCCATCTGATTATAAGACAAAGCAAAACTGGTTCTTCTAGTCAAGTCCAAAATGAGCAACAAATTAAGATGAAATAGATATTTTTTAAGGCTTAATAACTTTAATTTGTTTTTCTTGGAAGTAACTGTTTAGTTATTCATGTGACCTTTTACTTGAGAGAACCGTTTTCTGGTTTATTCCTGAAATAATTCATTGCCCGAGGGCTATATGAAAAAGAAGCAAATGTTTTTGCGATGTAAATATATTTACAGTCATTGTATTTTCTTTTGTTAACAGGAAGGTGAAGACTTAATTCTAATTAATATAGATAATGGAAATATTACACATTCAAAAATGACTGACGAGAAACCTGAAATTCCAGATGTCCCAGCACAAGCAGCAGAAACTTTCAGAAAAAGGTGGGAAGCTGTTTATCGTAGTGCATAAATCATCCTTGACCCTCTTTCCAAGTTTTTTATTTTGTGTTATTTATTATTATATTATTTAATTCATATAATCCCCACTTTATTTGATAAGGACTTATTGAAAATGTGAATTAATGAATGTACAGGTAACTTTAAGCAGTCATAATCATAACCATATTATTTTGCAACACCTGGAATGCTTCTTTTTTATTACTGTTATGAATTATTCTCTGAACTTTCCTGTTCCTTACGAAGAAGACTGAGTGTACTGTGATTTACGTGTACCAGCAGGAGATTTACGTGTACCAGCAGGGATTCGAGGAATCTTGTCAGCTTGTCAACGCTTACAACTCAATCTTGCACCTTCTCTAGCAGTAAGATCCATGAGCCCTAAATTGCTTTTTTCTCTAAAAGGTGTGAAAAAAATTATTGCTGTTAGGAGGTAACTGGACAATTTTCTTCCCTGTGTAGAGTGGAGAGTCTTCAGCTGCATTATGACCTCGAGCTCTGCCACCTCCGAGCCAGCACGGATCTTGGCGAGCTCCAAATGCGTAGAAGGGCTTGGCAGCAGAAGCTGAACATGGAAGTTCAGCAAATGACTTTGCAGTTAATTGTTAATATCTTCAGGTGAGTGGATAGAGCATTTGTTATTAGGAGAGCATGTGGGACTGGTTGAGACACTTCCGCTGTCACTGAAAATCTTCTTTTGTCTTGCTTTGTCGATATTTTGTAAATCTCTTAAGTTTTGTGAGACAGTGTGAGAAGGAGGTCCTGCTAGCCTGCTGGAATATCAGTGATTAATGTATTTGGGTACATATACATTGCTAAAACACCTTAGATAAAACTGTTTTTAACTTTTGTGTGAAGATCGCAGGAAGAGAAGTGAAGCTGTATTTTATAATTAGGAAAAAGTTAAGGCCCAGTAGAGGTATCGGTTTGTAAGTGGACACAGCCTTGGTCGCTCTTCTTGAAGGAAAATGCCTTCAAACTGCGACAGGGTAGAAAAGCTGAAAGCGGGATCGGGAGTTCGGAACAGCCAGGGGTGTTCTGGCTAACTGAGCAAATCCTGAGGCTGGACAGAGGAGCTGTTTAAGCGCAAGGGCAGACTGTTGCCACAAGAAACGCTTGGTCTTGAGTGTAGTGGGGACTGACATATTAATAATGATGTGGAGTAGGTTTGGGTAATTTTTTCCTCTAGAAAAAGGTCCACCTACGCTTATTTTCCTTGTTCTTAATCTGCTGTAATGTACTGATACCCATAGTTGCTTTATCTTATCAGTCTGAGTACTGATTGTAAATCCTGCTATTATTTATTTGTATTTGGGGAGGGAATTGGAAGCGTGGTGGGTGATTTGTGCAAAACTGGGTGACTGGTTTGCATATGCCGTGTTTCTTTTTACATAAACACTAACATACTTGACCATGAAAATGGAATTACCTTCCTGGCATTTCTAAAGAACCCGATTATATGGGCAGGAGTCTGCAAATAGCTGTGCAGGTGACCATCCCCAGCTATTCCTTGCTGGAGGCGGTGTCGTTTCGGATCAGCTACCGAATCGCTAGCACGAACGCGCCATAACGCTCTCAGTCAGAAGTGCTGGGTTAATTTATAAAGTCCAGGTGCCAGGGCTCTGTTAACCTGCTTGCTTTTGTTGGATCAGCTTAGCAAGTGTTCCTACAAGTGGCTCCAGGAGGACAATAGCTGCTGGGTGTAGAGGATAGAACAGACGTTACAGCTGGCTGGGTGTGCAAACTGAAATGCATTTTCAACCTGAAGTGCTGCTGCTGTGGTTTTCAGTGTTTGGCAACAATATGTTCCAGATAAAGATGGGGAGAAATGCGTTTTGCTGCCGGGAACACGGGCTCTTTAATGCACTGAACACTTGGATATAAAAAATGAATGGGTGTTTGCTCTCTGAGACATGATGTGTTTTGCAAAGGGCTTGTTTCTCCTCTTGCTTTCTTTCTCCTTTCCTTCAAACTTTCTTTCTTTGTTCTTTTTTTCAGCCTTGTTTCTTCTGTCTTCTAATGCTATATCTGCCAGCGGCCAGGAGTGAAGGAAAGTAAATCTCTGATGCAGTTGTGCTGCAGGTGTTACTGTCGCCAGTGGAGCACTGTATTATTTTTTTGTGTGTGTAGGTTGCAAGTTTAAAGCAAATAATGCAAAATTCTATCGAATTTTACAGAGCTATGCACTTCTACTATCCATCATATGACTTGATAATCTGGTCAGGAGTTTTTCCCACTGATCCATGAAAGACAAGGGATGTATAGACCTGTCAGTTCCCTGCATGGGTACGGGATTGCCTTTTTGTGCTTACGTTCAAATCTTAGCTCACCAGCTTATTTTCTTCATTCATGTATTTTCAAGGGAATTTCTTTTTCTTCAATACCCAGCATGAGTAGTTGAAATGAGATGTAATTATACAAAAGCCCTGTTTTTAGCCACTTGCACGTACCTGGCTTAAATAACTTACCATTCCTAGTCACAACCTTCAAAGAGTAGTTGTTTTGTTCTGTTTTGTTTTGTTTTGTTTTCCTGAAAAACTCCCACTTTCTGCTCCTGAAACGACTCTTTCTGTCTCACCTTTAGGACACAGAAATCGCTACTGACATCTGGTTTTGCAGGGAATAGTACAGGGCCTCTGCTGCTGCTGGGACTTTGTATGTGCTGGAACACACATAGGTTCTTTTCTTTTTTCCAATAGTCCTGTCTCTTTAGTTTAACACAATCGCCAGTTATCGCTGGCTTTATGAGCAGAGTTTGAGAGTGCAGCAAAAAATTGCGTTTGCCTTCTGAGACTGCAGCATATTTCTATTTTGTCTGCTGATGCTCTAGGTATTGGTAGTAGTACAAGTAGGCTGCTGCTACTTCAGAAGTGCAATTTGCTTACAAATCTCCATATTTATCTATATTTTTTTGTCTACAGGGAGGTAAAAGACCATCTAAATTATGAACACAGAGTGTTTAACAGTGAAGAATTTCTGAAAACGAGGGCAATTGGAGACCAGCCATTTTACAAAAAGGTAAATTCAGCGTTAAACATGTTGTGAATCTCTGTTATTAATCTGTATTTTAGCCGTAATAGTAGCAGAATGGTCACGGTTTGGTCTGTGTGATGTTGTAGATCCACCAGCTATCACAGAACGCTTTACCAGATGTATTTACTATAAACAGATTAAATAGTACACAACATTTTGGAGAGCAAGACACTGTAATTCCAGGGCAAATTAAATGTAACTTCCTCAGAGGTGAGATTAACCCAGGGCAGGGGATCAGTAAAGCTACATCTAAACTGTGTTTTAAGCACAGGTGCTTGTCCAAACTATTTGGACCGAAGCCCCTATGTAGACGTGAGTTTTCGGCAAGCCCAGGAGCACGGGTGTTCTTAGCTGTGACAAGGTGTGTGGGACATAGGTTCATTTTGCTTACACTTGCTTTACCAGGCGGTGTGAACCTGGCTCACTTATGTGCTGGTTAATACTCAGATAGTGCCTAGCCTCAGGCAAAGGAGAATGTCTCGGTCAGAGCAGTTCTCCCTCCGTGCTTTTGGTGTAGGGCTGTCACCGACCCCTGAGATCCTTTGGCTAAGAAGGAAGGAGAAAGAAAGGGGGAACA